AACAAATATAGAAATCATGGGTGAGACAGAAACAGATATAGAAATCATGGGTGAGACAGAAACAAATATAGAAATCCTGGGTGAGACAGCAAATATATATAGAAATCATGGGTGAGACAGAAACAGATATAGAAATCATGGTGAGACAGAAAAACAATATAGAAATCATGGGTGAGACAGAATATATAAAACATGTTTGACAGAATATAGAAATCATGGGTGAGACAGAAACAAATATAGAAATCATGGGTGAGACAGAATCAGATATAGAAATCATGAGACAGAAACAAATATAGAAATCATGGGTGAGACAGAAACAAATATAGAAATCCTGGGTGAGACAGCAACAATATAGAAATCATGGGTGAGACAGAAACAGATATAGAAATCATGGGTGAGACAGAAACAGATATAGAAATCATGGTGAGACAGAATAAATATAGAAATCATGGGGGGAGAGACAGAAACAATATAAGAAATCATGGGTGAGACAGAAACAATATAGAAATCATGGGTGAGACAAAACAAATATAGAAAATCATGGTGAGACAGCAACAAATATATAAAAAATAGATATATGGGTGAGACAGAAACAGATATAGAAATCATGCGTGAGACAGAAACAAATATAGAAGTCATGTGTGAGACAGAAACAAATATAGAAATCATGGGTGTGACAGAAACAGATATAGAAATCATGCGTGAGAAAGAAACAGATATAGAAATCATGGGTGAGACAGAAACAAATATAAAATCATGGGTGAGACAGAATTAGATATAGAAATCATGGGTGAGACAGAAATAGATATAGAAATCATGGTGAGACAGCAACAAATATAGAAATCATGTGTGAGACAGAAACAGATATAGAAATCATGGGTAAGACAGAAACAGATATAGAAATCATGCGTGAGACAGAAACATATATAGAAATCATGCGTGAAACAGAAACAGATATGGAAATCATGGGTGAGACAGCAACAGATATAGAAATCCTGGGTGAGACAGAAACAGATATAGAAATCCTGGGTGAGACAGCAACAAATATAGAAATCATGGGTGAGATAGAAACAGATATAGAAATCATGGGTGAGACAGAAACAGATTTTGAAATCATGGGTGAGACAGCAACAAATATAGAAATCATGGGTGAAACAGAATCAGATATAGAAATCATGGGTGAGACAGAAACAGATATAGAAATCATGGGTGAGACAGAAGCAGATATAGAAATCATGCGTGAGCCAGCAACAAATATAGAAATCATGTGTGAGACAGAAAAATATATAGAGATCATGGGTGAGACAGAAACAAGTATAGAAGTCATGTGTGAGACAGAAACAAATATAGAAATCATTAGTGTGACAGAAAAAGATATAGAAATCATGGGTGAGACAGAAACAGATATAGAAATCATGGGTTAGACAGCAACAAATATAGAATTCATGGGTGAGACAGAAACAAATATAGAAATCATGGGTGAGACAGAAACAAATATAGAAATCATGTGTGAGACAGAAAAAGATTTAGAAATCATGTGTGAGACAGAAACAAATATAGAAATCATGCGTGAGACAGAAACAGATATAGAAATCATGGGTGAGACAGAATTAGATATAGAAATCATGGGAGAGACAGAAACAGATATAGAAATCCTGGTTGAGACAGCAGCAAATATAGAAATCATGGGTGAGACAGCAACAAATATAGAAATCATGGGTGAGACAGAAACAAATATAGAAATAATGTGTGACAGAAAAAGATTTAGAAATCATGTGTGAGACAGAAACAGATATAGAAATCATGGGTGAGACAGAAACAGATATAGAAATCATGGGTGAGACAGAAACAGATATAGAAATCATGGGTGAGACAGCAACAAATATAGAATTCATGGGTGAGACAGAAACAAATATAGAAATCATGGGTGAGACAGAAACAAATATAGAAATCATGGGTGAGACAGAAACAAATATAGAAATCATGGGTGAGACAGAAATAGATATAGAAATCATGGGTGAGACAGAAACAAATATAGAAATCATGCGTGAGACAGCAACAGATATAGAAATCATGGGTGAGACAGAAACAGATATAGAAATCCTGGGTGAGACGGAAACAAACATAGAATTCATGGGTGAGACAGAAACAGATATAGAAATCATGGGCGAGACAGAACCAGATATAGAAATCCTGGGTGAGACAGAAACTGATATAGAAATCATGCGTGAGACAGAAACAGATATAGAAATCCTGGGTGAGACAGAAACAGATTTAGAAATCCTGGGTGAGACAGAAACAGATATAGAAATCATGCGTGAGACAGAAACAGATATAGAAATCCTGGGTGAGACAGAAACAGATATAGAAATCATGCGTGAGACAGAAACAGATATAGAAATCATGGGTGAGACAGAAACAGATATAGAAATCATGGGTGAGACAGAAACAGATGAAGAGTTCACATCTAGATTATGTCATTATTTTTTCAACATCTAGGTTATGGCATTATTTTCGATTATACTTGCATGTGCTATCCATTTAATTGGTGTTAGTTCTCAAATGATTCTTGTATTCGGTACAGTTCTTTGTGATTCTTTATAGCCAGTCCACAAGGTTCAAAAAACGGGGATTGTTGTCAGGACCTTCAGGCTTCACTTGCTCAAAGCTTTTTTTATCCATTGGTTTTAGGAAGCGGTTGTATTGATCTGACAGTTTAGATATTTCTTGGTGCCATTTTTGACATCCACATATAAGTTCTGATCTGACGTGGTTATTTAAGAACATGACTTTAATTTTCATATTGATGTTTTGCTTGCGTAGCAATTTGCGGTTTTGGGCGAAACTATCCCTGGCTATTCTATATTGGATTTCTTTTTCTCCGATAGTTAATTTGTTATAACTGATCCATATGCCGTATGCCGATATTTGAATTACTTAGTATTTACTAATTCCTTATTCTGAATTTTTATGACGTATTCAGACTATATGCCATCACTAATGTAATTCAAATGCTTCTGTTTTGGAAATGTTTATCTTCAGTCTTATTTCTGGGAAAACTTGATAAAGCATGTTGATTTTCTGTTTAACCCTAGCACACAAACCATCAATTAAAGTTACACCACTACTAACCATGGGTATGTCATACTCGATTTTGAAAATATCAAAAAAAATAAAAAAAATAAATATAAATCTTAATTTGAAATATTTTACATGCAGGCACTTCAAACTTTGTACTTTGAGTTAACATTAATAGGAACTGAAAAATATATTATTTAGGTAAGAAAATAAGGTACTGAATATTGTAACAGGAAAATTTGCGCTGGGTACTATATACTTATGATTAGTGTTGTAAGGTTAAGATCATTCTTATCCCAAATATTAAAAAATCGAGTCTGATTCTGATGAGGTTTCTTTTAGACTCGATGAATTACTTAATTATGATCATTTCAAATCCTCCTAATTATTTCTATCTGTATATCCTTGTTTGAACCGACTTCTAATACTCTGGATGGAGTGGCTTGGTGATAGTAGTCGTGGCTCCTGGGGCACAGTCCTATGGGTAAGGGAAACTCGGATGTGTTCCACCACGGAATATCTGATCGAGGGGCGCTATATCGAGTCTGATTCGCTACTTGCTCGTCACCGGAGCCTGTTGGAACAGTTGGTATGACGTTTGTCTGATAACGTAACTGTCCGGGTTTCAATTCTCGGTAGTGGATGCGCACTGCTGATGAGTCCCACATATAGGACGAAACGGCTGTCCAGTGCTTTCTGCATTCTGTTGAGGTTTCATCTAGACTCGATGAATTACTTAATTGTTATTATTAAAAAAAATCATAGTTAAATATTAGCCAAGCCCATTGACGGATGGAGTTGAGAGCAGTAAAAGATTACGGAACTTTCTTTGCAGCGGGAAACACCGAAAATAAAGGTAACTGATGTAGAATTCGAATGGTTCCCATGAGAGTAGTGTTCCCTCTGGGTTAGGCACACTTGGCTGAACAGTTTTTACTTTGATGGCTGATGGAAAAGCGCAATGTAGATTGGGACGGCGCATTTTTATTAAGTAGAATTTCTGAATCTCTAAGCCGGCCGATATTAATTTCCCTGCTTAAAATATCAGGGATTTCGCATATCCATTAAATATAACGTTTGTAGAAATCATAATGATATATAACTTGTTATATGTCCCTACATACAATCAGTCATAAATAAAGAATCGTGCTCAAACATTCGCTAATAAAATCGGCCTTAAATCATGAACGCTCATTATAAAAATGTCAACGGCACATGTCTATTGGAAGAACAAAATAGACATTAGCATGACATTGTCATTTAACACGAGATATTCATTTGCAAGGGATACATTTAGGCTCTCTCATTCCATTCAATAACTCACTTCAGTTCACACTGCTCGATTAAATTGAATTATCGCCAGTGTTACTTTGTTGCTCTCGCAACAAAGGAAGCACCACATGTGTTATAAATATAATTTTGCGCTCGATGGTCTGACATGAAAATAAAGCATCAAGTTCCACCGTCTATTTAGAGCGATCGATATGTTTAATATATTTAAACGTCAGCGGGAAATCACAGTACAGAGTTCGAAGAAAGCGTGCGGATGCTACACAATGGCCGGTGATTAGCGAACGAATATGGAGGCGAGAAAGTAAAAGAAAAATATTAGAAAATTAACAGAAATAGACAAAAAGAATGGAATTAAAAATAAAATTATTATTATTATGTCATGGAGGTGTTGAAAAGTTTTTGGGCTGTCCCAGATCGGAAAAGCTGATCGAATGATCAAATATCAAAGAACTTTTCGGCAACCCACTCCCGTAAAAAAAGAGCACGTCTGAAGATTTGATATTACTTGAAAAGCAACTGATATCGTCTGAAATCAGAATTATGGTAATGGCGTTAAAACGAAAAAAATAAAAAGGCAAGTGGCAGAAAAAATAGCCATAAGCAACGTAGGAGTAAATTGTTGAAGTAAATTACTGGGTATGAGTGAGACAGAAGCAGATATAATGATCAGGAGTGAGACAGAAGCAGATATAATGATCAGGAGTGAGACAGAAGCAGATATAATGATCATGAGTGAGACAGAAGCAGATATAATGATCAGGAGTGAGACAGAAACAGATATAATGATCATGAGTGAGACAGAAGCAGATATAATGATCAGGAGTGAGACAGAAACAGATATAATGATCAGGAGTGAGACAGAAGCAGATATAATGATCAGGAGTGAGACAGAAGCAGATATAATGATCAGGAGTGAGACAGAAACAGATATAATGATCATGAGTGAGACGGAAGCAGATATAATGATCAGGAGTGAGACAGAAGCAGATATAATGTTCATGAGTGAAAAAGAAACAGATATAAAGTGTATGAGTGAGACAGAAAACATAGTGATCATAAGTCAAATAGAAACAGATAAAGAGATCATGACTGAGACAAAAACAAATGAAGTGATCATGAGTGAGAAAGAAAAAGATAAAGAGACATTAAGTGACACAGAAGCAGATATAGAAATCATGAATGAGACAGAAAAGTATGAAGAGATCATGAGTGAGACAGAAATAGATGAAGAATTCATGAATGAAACAGATATAGATGAAGAGATCATGAGTGAGACAGAAACAGATGAAGTGATCATGAGTGAGACAGAAACAGATGAAGAGATCATGAGTGAGACAGAAACAGATGAAGAGATCACCGGTGAGACAGAAACAGATGAAGAGATCATGAGTATTTAGAAACAGATATACTGATCATGAGGAGACAGAAACAGATGAAGAGATCATGAGGAGACAGAAACAGATGAAGAGATCATGAGGAGACAGAAACAGATGAAGAGATCATGGTGAGACAGAAACAGATGAAGAGATCAAGAGTAAAGACAGAAACAGATGAAGAGATCATAAAATCCTATAGAAACAGATGAAGAGATCATGAGGAGACAGAGAGAAAAAAATCAATGAGACAGAAACAGATGAAGAGATTTTAAAGGAGACAGAAACAGATGAAGAGTTCATGAGTGAGACAGAAACAGATGAAGAGATATGAGGAGACAGAAACAGATGAAGAGATCATGAGTGAGACAGAAACAGATGAAGAGATCATGAGTGAGACAGAAACAGATGAAGAGATCATGAGTGAGACAGAAACAGATGAAGAGATCACCGGTGAGACAGAAACAGATGAAGAGATTATGAGTGAGACAGAAACAGATGAAGAGTTCATGAGTGAGACAGAAACAGATGAAGAGATCATGAGTGAGACAGAAACAGATGAAGAGATCATGAGTGAGACAGAAACAGATGAAGAGATCACCGGTGAGACAGAAACAGATATAGAGAGCATGAGTGGTTTATTTTGTTTTACGGTATATCAACCTCAATTGGTTATTCAATGCCGACCACATTTTCACGATAGATTCGAATGAATAGAGTATGTATTCTTTGGTTTAGATTACTTTGGTTTATTTTCTTTAATTTTCTTTAACGCCATATCAAACGCAATGGGTTATTTAATGTTGACTAAAATTTTCATTGCTGGTAATATATTTCCTTCGAAATTTTGTCAGCATTAAATAACCCACTGAGGTTGATATGCCGTAAAACAAAATAAACCAAACCAATCTAAACCAAAGAATACATATTCTATTCATACGAATCTATTCTAAATATGTTGTCGGCATTAAATAAGCAATTGAGGTTGATATGCCGTAAAACAAACCAAATCCAACCCAACTAACAAAACAGTTTTTTGTATATGATCTTTTGCCGAATTTATTCAGATGAACATAATAAGCGTGACTATTTTGTAAACCTCTGGCGGGTAACACTGGGTTAACTAGCGATCTAAACTCAGCAGTTATTTGCGGAAGATCACTTTTTGATATTACTGTCCCAGTGTGTGGAACCCAGCGTGCCGTTGAAAAGCACCTGGGAATCATGCCACGTGTTGATACTAGTAGTGAGATGTGGAACTGGGTGAACGAAATCGTTTGGAAGCCAGTGAAGGTTTTTCTAGCCCGAAATCAGAAGTCCTTAACTAGTTCAAAGGCGGGCGACTAGACACTCAACAGAATTAAAAACCAGACCATCAAAGGGTGAATGAAACCTTTCGTCGAGTCAACGGTCGTCTAGACCATTAATGGGGTAGATGGACCTCCGTAACTATGTATTCAGCCAGAGCTATGATGACTCGATATTGCTGGGCTGAATACCTTCTAATCTGAAGTCAACAGTCAGAGCGAGGTGCTCCTCTTATGGAATCAAAGCCCGGGTTTCTGCAACCAAGGTGAGCGTTCGAGTTTCAAGAGATCGGTTCTGGTTTGGATTGGAGACAGATAAGTAACGCCAATTCTAATTGCCCAGAACAGGCTACAGAAGAAGGAAAAACCTTTCTTGATTTCAACCAAGTTATGTGGAGGGAATTGGTCAGCTATGAAAGGGCCACTACGGCCATCACAAATTATAAGACAGATGATGATGATAATCATAATGATGATGATGATGATTTCTGTCGCATGATTTGGTACGGCCATCATTAAACCTTCATGTTCTTTTTCGCCACAGACAAGTTTTTCCAATCTTTTTACTCCAAATGCCATACACCGCCAGGACGTAGATCTAGGCCGTTTTCAATTTAATTTTTACTTTAACATCTGTAATTTGTGAATAAGATATAGACAGTAATTGACATGACTAGCAATAACGGGAAATAAAATTAACCAATAATCAAATTCGAATATGGCAGCATAATTCTTTTGATGCATAACTCTTTCTTTAACTCCCCTCTTTAAAACTTCTCTCTGTTAAATTTTAATCCCCTACTTCATCTATAGACCTTGCTGTTCTTCTTCTGTCCTTTTCTCGTCTGTCACCCCTCTCTATAGCTTTCATTTACTCTAACATTCGCCCCACACTCTCATACATACACTCTCACTAAATTTTATTTTTATTCCCGGAGTTGTTTTTTCTGTTTTCTTTTTGAATTTGTAGATCTGATGAATTGGATCGTATTTACGATTCCAATGGAATAAATTATGACCATGGAATATTAGTGTTTGGTACTTTATATATATATATATATATATATATATATATATATATATATATATATATATATATATATTAGTGTGTGTGTGTGTGTTTGTGTGAGTGTGTGTGTGTGTGTGTGTGTGTTTTAGGCAGCAAATTCACTTTTAGAGATGTCTTACTGAATAAATTACAGACATTATATCAGCTAATATCTTCCGTGTATTGATGTTAAAGGATGAGAAATGCTATAGCTGTTTAAATTTCTTTTCCCAAGTACTTTATATGTATATATATATATATATATATATATATATATATATATATATATATATATATATATCTCCGAATTAACCTGTAGAAAAAAAGACAATATGTATAAAGAAAAAAAGACGATAGGAAAACTGTAGTTTTCGCCGACGCGTTTCGTCCAATATGGACATTTTCAAGGAAAAAAAAAACGAAATTATTGAATCGTTTGCTTCGTTTTTTCATGGAAGAGCGGAGACTGCTGTTGAACCTGAAGTTATCCGTGATTGGACTATAAACTGCCAAGAAGAATCGCAGTGTGTGATTAAAAATGACGAAAGTTGTTGCTGACGGCTGGCGCACAAGTCGATACCCGATCAGCATCCGCTGTCTCACTACGTTGGTGTGTCATGCTGAAAGATCCGATACCCTTAATGAACTCGGCTAAAAAACATCACAGATGATGTGTGCCAAAGCATAAAATTGATCGTGGGGAGAACTCGGAGACCAGAGTTCGAATTCCAGTCGAGTTCTTTAAAATCCCTTGCGCACAAATACCTTTAGAAAAGCTATGAATCCATCTTTTCTCTCCCAGCTATGAGTTGAATATCAGAAGAGACTGGGTTCTTTAGCCCAGGATGGCAACCAGTCTACCACACGAAGAAATGACAACTTACCGCGGGAAAAAAATCTGCTTCGTCAGTCATGTATTGAAAGATATATAATCGTCCAAGTGTATGGCAATTAACTGACTGAATGACCATACATTTATTTGTTTTTACAGGTTTATCTCCTTGGTAACATAAATCAGTGATTTTCTTAAATTATCTTTTAATCGTAACGTTACTTGCAGGAACATTTTTTACTTTTCATATACATATCTTTTAATGATAAACCAGAAGTATTTTTTCACGCCGGAGTCAAATCTACAAATCAATCATTCGTCCTTGCATGGAGTATTGCTGTCATATATGGTCTGGTGCCCATTCTGTTTGTCTCAAGGTCCTGGATAAAATCCAAAGAAGGATATGCAACGTAATTGATCCTAATCTGTCATCTCGTCTGCAGTCATTCTATCACAGACGTACCGTCGCCTCCCTCTGACTTCTTTTTACAAATACTTTCATGGTAACTGCTCTGAGGAGCTGCTTTCGCTGGTTCCCAAACTTCATGAATTTAAGCGTTCTACTAGGCTGGCATATCGCTCACACCCTTTCACTGTCGAAACTGTTAAATGTAGCCGTCTCATCTACTCCAATACGTGTGACGTCATGAGCTGCAGTGTGATTTTCGCTTCGAGTTTGTCGTTGCTTGGAAATCTTCCATGTAATGAAAAACAGACTATCATTATTGTTTTGTCCATGTATTGTTTAATATATTGTAATGTAATTGTCATCTTTGATAATGGCTTATGTAAGTCGAAAGTTTAAATAGTATTAAAGAATATGTATCAATATGGTGATTTTCTTTCATATTTTAATGATAACGTTATTACGCTTATCAGACGATATGAAAAGACTTTACATAAAATAAATAGACAAAACTTGTCTATATTATTTAATGAAACATGCGTCAATGAAATAATGCTGACTAAATACGCACAATATATATATATATATATATATATATATATATTAACACATGGTTGGTATAGATGTAATTAAATTCCAGTAACCAAAAACTATTTTAAAAAAATGCTCAATACAAAGTAGAATGAATAATATTTATTTAAAAATTATATTATTAAAAATTCACCATCCTTTTGTCTTGTCAAGTGATGGTAAAATTGTATCAACACCATCACTTGACAAGACACCAGATGTGTTGAAAGAAAATGGCTATTTTTGTAGTGATGTTATAACATACTTGTGTTATAATTTTAAATAAATAAATATATATATATATATATATATATATATATATATATGAATATTAATACAAAAAAAATTATATCAACAGAATATTTTTTATCCCAATCCTTTCATATTTACGAATATTTTTCCGTTTATTACAATTGAATAAGTCAAGAAATGCATTGTAAAAGTGAGAATCACTTTTATTTCCCGAGTACTTGCACCACTGATGATGATCTCAGAAAGAGATGGAAAGTACTTGGGAAATAAAAATGATTCCCACTGTTACAGTGCATTTCTTGTCTTATGTAATTGTAACATACGGAAAAATATTTGTGAATATGAAAAGATTATGGTAATCTTGCCTAAAAGAGAATTCAATGCCTAAATAGACACACACACACATACACATATATGTGTGCGTTTAAGCAGTATATTTTTCATTCAAAAACGTTTGGTTAATTAGTTTAGATATAATATGTGTTATGGGACCTTACCCATAATAACATAATGGACTATTCCATATGTAATAAATACTGCGCCTCAAGAGGAAGCAGAGAGTTCAGTCTGAAGTCTGGAGTGAGGTCCGTCAGGAGTCC